TTATTTATTTATTTTAATTTCAAAAAGCTTTATATTCTTTTTTTTATAGATATCCTACCGATAGTTTTGATATATATMTTTACAAGATACTGGCAGATACTTGTTGTTAACGTCTGGAAATTAAGATAAATGTTCAAGATTAATATCTTTTAAAGACAATACAATTCATGGTTCCGACTCCCCTTCGTTACCGTTACCGTTATGTCCAACAAACTAAACGTAGCTAGAACTCATATACAAATTTAAACCTCTGATCGCAGAAAATATATTATGTATAACATAACTAGATTATTACGCGCGTTCTGATTGGCCAAAAACCAATGAACTATTTCCCCATGGTGCACGCTCGCGCACGCTGATCTCAACGGACGCTCGCCTTTTTTCTCTAAATTTTCCAACCCGATGGCTTCAATAGCGCGCGCACGAGTGAGGGATAGGTGATATAACGCGCGCTCTGACTGGCTGAAATGCCTATAAACTATTTGTCCATGGGTCGCTTTTATGTGATTTACTGATAAATGAACCAGTCATAATTTAAGTCGGAGAGAAAAAGAGAGAGAGGGGCGGGGGTAGGGGGAAGATGGTACATCGATCACCTGTATCTTTGTTTTGTTTTGCCCACTCGCAAGATGGCCGCCATAACGTCGAAGTAATCCATTGAGTCTAATCTCATCTGACTTACATGAGAGAGAACTCAGTTTCCCAGTGGAAAGAGAATCCATTACTGTTATTCTGTTATGATCCAAAAACACAGGAATCCCAGCAACAGTATTGCCACAGAAAGATGCAAAACTATCGCAAGTTGAAATGTAAACTGTATCCGGTTTCTTAAAATAGGGGATTTACATAGCGCGCGCGTTATTAGAAGTTTCCTTCTCTCATTTATGATTATCTATATACCTGGATTTGGGGTACAAGCGCTTTCAGAAGCACATTTGCAGTCACACTGGTTCTCGACTATTCGTTTTGGCGGGAGAATATCTTTGAAGATCGGCTGAAACGAAAGAACAGAAACCCTTCAGTTGTAGTGGTATAACAGTTCAAGAATGAACACTGCTGTTTCATTAAAGGTTAGCGAAGATTTTGGTTATTAGTTGTTTTCCAAACTTAAAATTTTTTTTTTGATATGAAAAGAATTTTAGAACACAAGAAAATATGCGAAGAAAAGTGGGAAGAGGCGCTTGTGAAAATTTCCTATGGTTGTGACCGTTTCGCTGACTGTATTCATATAATAATGCCGTCATGCATTTCGGGCTTGGTGCGACATGCAACAAAAAATTACCAACCTTTTTTAAAAACAGCTATATGATACAGGTTTCTAATTTGGCCCACTTTAGACACTCACTTATATATTTTTGATTTCTAACATCCACTACTTTCTCATCTTTATCTCAACTGCTCTCTTCTCGTCTTCTCTAGTCTGCTCTGCTCTCTTCTCTTCTCTTCTCCTTTCCTCTCCTCTCCTCTCAAGAAAAGCATTACGATTTATTTTTATATCTATATTCAGGCAGTGATTTGATAATAATCTAATCCAAATTGCTCCTTAAAAAGCTCAAAGCTGAAGGCACGTGTTTGTCATTGATTAATGAGTCTTTTTAATGGATTTTAATGACATCGACTAGTCGATGTAGGGTCTTTTAGTAGATGTAATGAGAAACTTTTAACTGGTAACCCAAATTGAAAAATTGAGCGAGTCATCGAGTGTTGTCAAAATTTATTCTTTAATTTATGCTATGTGCAGTTAGCGCAAACAAGCTTTTTCTTATTTATTTCTCTTTCTCTTTCTGTCACACTTGGCTTCCATGAAAAATATTTTTCGATAATGATTTNCATTTTGCAATACGAACGAAATTTGCCAAGAGTAGCGTCTCCTCGAAGATCATAAACTCCATTCTTTTGTCTGCAGGTGATAAAAACAAGCATTAGTTGGTTACCACTCTTTCCAGTAGACCGAGGCAGTTGTGTTTTTTTTTCATTGCCTTAGCTTCGTAGCATCTGTTATGTTAACCTCAAGTGCATTTCAATTCGATCACGTGATGTCATTATTGTATGTCACGTGGACACGTTTTTAAACCACGTGACCGAAGTACAGTCACGTTTTATCACGTGGTGTAAAAAACTTGTCCATATGGTATAACATTGGGATCACGTGGCGGTTGGTTTTACAATTCGAAAAGGTATATATTCTTGTTTGTTTTTTTTTGTTGTTGTTGTGGTTTTTTTCTGAGATATCCTACCGATAGTTTTGATATATATCTTTACAAGATACTGGCAGATACTTGTTGTTTACGTCTGAAAATTAAAATAAATGATTCAAGATTAATCTTTTGAAGACACTACAATTCATGATTCCGTAGCTAGAACATCTCAAAATTTAAACCTCTGATCGCGGAAAATTGATTATGTGGACTAGTCATTGTTTAAGTCGGAGGGGGCCCCAACATAATAGCATTCATGTTTTTCGGGTATCCCCCTTCAATCCAATCGTTTAAAAAATTCTCCCAATGTTCCACTAAAAAAATTTGAGGGGCCCCCATTTTCGCTCCTCCACCCCCTCGTAATCTTTGTCGTACTCTTCAAAACAGATGCTGTGAAAACTGCTGCAACGGTGATTGGTTCGGTATCGTATGAGTCGGAATTATGGATTCAATACAATTTAATACAATTTTTCTAGTTCTTAAAAATAGAGGCTTTGCACTGCATGCCATCACGAAATGGCTGCCCTGGCAGGAGGCAGGAACAATGGACCACTTCGACGATACGGCGGCCATCTTGGATCACAAGGCATCATGGGGCGTCCAGGGGGCAAATAAAGCTTTGTTACAGTAATGACGTTGACTGATATCAACAGCTCACCATAAGAGAATACAACAAAAGATGAATTAAGATGGCACATAATCACCTTTACCAATAAAAGGAAGACAAACACACCAAACTATACAAATTTTCCGTTAATTTTGTTTTGTTTTGCCCACTCGCAAGATGGCCGCCATAACGTCGAAGTAATCCATTGGACTTAATCTAATCTGAATTACATGAGAGAGAATTCAGTTTTCCAGGGGAAAAAGAATCTATAACTGTTAACCTATTATAATCCATAAGCACAGGAATCCCAGCAACAGTTTTTCCACAGAACGATGCAAGACTATCGCAAGTTGAAATGTAAACTGTATCCGATTTCTAAAAATAGCCCAACCGGGAATTTACATAGCGCGCGCGATATTAAGAAGTTTCCCTCTCTCATTTATGATCTCTTGATTATCGATATACCTGGATTTGGGGTACAAGCGCTTTCAGAAGCACATTTGCAGTCACACTGGTTCTCGACTGTTCGTTTTGGCGGGAGAATATTTTTGAAGATCGGCTGAAATGAAAAAACAGAAACCCTTCAGGTTCAGTGATAACAGATCAAGAATGAACACTGCTGTTTCATTAAAGGTTAGCGAAGATTTTGGTTATTAGTTGTTTTCCAAACTTAAAATTTTTTTTTTGATATGAAAAGAATTTTAGAACACAAGAAAATATGCGAAGAAAAGTGGGAAGAGGCGCTTGTGAAAATTTCCTATGGTTGTGACCGTTTCGCTGACTGTATTCATATAATAATGCCGTCATGCATTTCGGGCTTGGTGCGACATGCAACAAAAAATTACCAACCTTTTTTAAAAACAGCTATATGATACAGGTTTCTAATTTGGCCCACTTTAGACACTCACTTATATATTTTTGATTTCTAACATCCACTACTTTCTCATCTTTATCTCAACTGCTCTCTTCTCGTCTTCTCTAGTCTGCTCTGCTCTCTTCTCTTCTCTTCTCCTTTCCTCTCCTCTCCTCTCAAGAAAAGCATTACGATTTATTTTTATATCTATATTCAGGCAGTGATTTGATAATAATCTAATCCAAATTGCTCCTTAAAAAGCTCAAAGCTGAAGGCACGTGTTTGTCATTGATTAATGAGTCTTTTTAATGGATTTTAATGACATCGACTAGTCGATGTAGGGTCTTTTAGTAGATGTAATGAGAAACTTTTAACTGGNATATACCTGGATTTGGGGTACAAGCGCTTTCAGAAGCACATTTGCAGTCACACTGGTTCTCGACTATTCGTTTTGGCGGGAGAATATCTTTGAAGATCGGCTGAAACGAAAGAACAGAAACCCTTCAGTTGTAGTGGTATAACAGTTCAAGAATGAACACTGCTGTTTCATTAAAGGTTGGTGTAGATGATTTTGGTTATTAGCTGTTTTATTCCAAGCTTGAAATGTTCTTTTTCTTTTCTTTTTTCTTTTCTTCTTCTTCTTCTTCTTCTTCTTTTTTTGGTATGAAAAGAATTTCAGAACACAAGAAAATATGCTACGAAAAGTGTGAAGAAGCGCTTGGGAAAATTTCATATGGTTGTGACCGTTTCGCTGACTGCATTCATATAATGATGCCGTCATGCATTTTGGGCTTGGTATGCAACATGCAACAAATATTTGACCAACCTTTTTTAACAACAGGTATAAGATACAGGTTTCTAATTTGGCTCATTTTACACACTCACTTTTATAATTTCCTTTCCTCTCTCCTCTCCTCTCCTCTCCTCTCCTCTCTTCTCTTCTCTTCTCTTCTCTTCTCTTCTCTACTCCCCTCGTCTTGTCTCGTCTCGTCTCGTCTCCTCTCAAGAAAAGCATTGAGATTTATTTTTAAAGGAATCTAATCCAAATTGCTCCTTAAAAAGCTCAAAGCTGAAGGCACGTGTTTGTCATTGATTAATGAGTCTTGTTAATGGATTTTAATGACATTGATTAGTCGGTCTAGGGTCTTTTAGTAGATGTAATGAGAAAC